CCTGTTCTGGTTATACCGTTCACACATATACACAGGAATATATATATATATATCTGTTCTAGTTATACCGTTCACACATATACACAGGAATATATATATATCCCTGTTCTGGTTATACCGTTCACACATATACACAGGAATATATATATATATATCTGTTCTAGTTATACCGTTCACACATATACACAGGAATATATATTACTTAGATGATGAATAAACTTATTCTGGTCATTTATAAATATTAGATCAATCACGTATTGATTTACGATTTAATTCCAGCAAGTTTGTTGTGTTGAACGTTTCATTTCTCTCTACCTTTGATCCGTAGAATTAACATAGTATATTATCCGAAACGTTACAGCCAACAGTTATGGAATACACGAAACGTTACAACCAACAGTTATGGATAACAAGCAAATGGAGTAGAGAATTCGCCATATTTAAATAAGTTGGTTAAAAACAAAAAACCGGTATTTTTTAAAGAAACTATTATCGTGTGTAGGCTAGCGTCCAACACAGAATCGTGTTGACGTGGTAACGAAAACCTTTTGTTATGTTTCTCTTCAGATATCAGCTTAACGTTCTTAATTGTTAAATGTTTGTAAATGGTGTACAGTTATTGAGGTACAAGTATCAAAATTAACACAAATGAGCATTGAGCTATCTGTGCTCTGCCCACCGAAGGTATCAAAACACAGGTTTTATCGTTATTATCCCTTAGACTTACCACTGGGGTCGTCTTAATTATGAATATATATATAAAGAGACTGAAACTTGGCAAAATAATCTTTTCGGAATATTCTTATTGAAACGGTTTGGGTATTTTTATAACTTTCTGCTTTCACAGACAAACAGTAAAATATCTTATGATTGCTGACGCATCTATATATATATGTATAGAGAGAGAGAGACAGAGAGGGTGGGGGTGGAGATAAATATGGAAATTTTAGGTTTTTAATTAAAATTGATGGCCCTCTAATGGCTCAACGTCTAGTCTGACGGGTTATAACACTAAAAACTACGTTTTGATACACAAGGCAGACAGCCCATTGTATAACTTTAGGCTTAACAACAAACAAACAAATACGACAGGTCTGTTTATTCCTTGTTATTTTTAAAGCCTTTTTCAGTACTTGCTCTTCTAGAAAGTACAAGGTTATAAATGACGACACTTTGAGTACACGACAAAAATACCGAATCTGAAATCATGTTAACTTCTAGATCTCTACTGCCATAGGAGAGATATAATGTCGGAAGGTGTTCTGATTGAGCCCCCCCCCCCCCGGTGGCACAGCGGTATGTCTGCGGACTTACAACGTGGTGGGCAGATCACAGATAGCCCTTTGTCTATATAATTATGATTGACTATAAAAAAGGGTGATCTACAGACTACCAAGCACGGCCGTCGAAGTGGACATGATTTTATCATTCTGCCATTTTTCTGACCAATAGGTTTTAATAATATTATTATTTCCTTGCTCACTATCGCCTAAAAGTTTTTTTTTTCTTCTTACGTTTCACGAGCCCCACGTGAGGCTGACGTCACAGTTTAATGAATTACAGAGCTGCTGATTGTGGCTCGTGATGAATGCCAGGCACGTAGACAGTTTGTGAACTGAGAGGTGGTATCAGGTAGCGCGTCTGAGGAACACGAGAACGGGATACCAACCCCAGCTAGTAAGCAGTCATTTCAGCTTACTTACTTTGGTAGGATATACAAGTCTTATCGACACAGTCTTTTGAAATACCAACTCACTTATAAAAATTAGTAGCGATAACATTTGCGATGACCTGATGATGACCGGAAACGCACTGAATTAATCGGTAAGTATTTTGAAATAATTTAAAGGTAAAAATTAGACATACACTCGGAATTATTTAAAGTTGTTTTTTTTCTTTTTACTCTTTGGGTTTGAGCGTTGAATTTAACCAATAATTACTTTCTTTAATGAGAAAGGGCACATTTAATAATGGAATCAGTTTAATAAATAAACAAGTTTTAATTTCCTAAAGTGGGCCTAAGGCCGAAACGTTAGAAAATATATTTATTTGGTCAAAGTGTAGAAACAATTTTCATTCAATTAATAAAAAAGCTAATTTATTTTCTTGAGTTTCATGGCTGGATAGAATATTTTCACTTGCATAGATGTAATAACAGGCAATAAAGAACGTATACAACGTTTAAAGAACGTTTGTTGTTGTTCTCCTAATATAAAAACGAAGGTTTATTCACTATACAATTTACAACGACGCTACTGTCAAAGCAGTGCTTTGGGAAATCTTTGTCAGCAACTGTTTTTGTTTTAGGAACATGACTAAAGCCAGCTGGTTCTTCCAGTAGCCGAGTTCTACGAACCTCAAGTTTCAACATGGGAGCTTCTGTGGGGAAGAAAGTCTCTCTTTTGAAAAGCCTACCGCCTAACCATTCCCTTCATGTAGTGATGCTGGGACTGGATTCGGCAGGAAAAACAACAGCTCTTTACCGGCTGAAGTTTGACCAGTTCTTGAACACGATACCTACAATAGGTTTTAATTGTGAAAAAATCAAGTGGACAACTGGTAAGGCTAGAGGAACGAGGTTTATGTTTTGGGATGTTGGAGGTCAGGATAAATTAAGACCGTTGTGGCGATCTTACACCAGATGTACCGATGGTATCGTCTTTGTTCTGGATAGTGTCGAGGTAGAGAGAATGGAGGAAGCGAGAATGGAGCTCTTGAGAATTGCCAGAGAAAACTATGGAGTGCCTATCTTGGTGCTGGCCAACAAGCAAGACCTTCCAAGGGCAAAAAATACTCGAGACATTGAAAAACACCTCGGTCTGAAGGACCTGGAGTCGAATCATTTGTGGCACGTTCAGCCTACTTGTGCGATAATCGGAGATGGGCTAGACCAAGGGCTTGAGGTGCTGTACGATATGATAATCACAGCGAAACAGTCAAAGAAGAAAAGATAGAACGGAACATTTACTAGGTCGCTATCGCAAGGTCATTGAAGAAGTTCGTCCAGTGATGTGAGGAACTAAACGAACCTTTCTGTGGATATTTTATAAAGCCAGTTATTTGGGAATATGATATTACTTTACTGTCCACAAGTAATTATTCAGTCAGTAAAAGACCTATCAAATACTAACTCGTTACTCAGATGTGTGGTCCTCATCACATACTTTATTTGTACATTTAAAAATGTATTCTAATTTGAAGTTAACTGTCATAAGTTCTTGTGTTCATGGCAACGAGAACGTCACTAAACTTCACTGTCATAAGTTATTGTGTTCATGGCAACGAGAACGTCACTAAACTTCACTGTCATAAGTTATTGTGTTCATGGCAGTGAGAACGTCACTAAACTTCACTGTCATAAGTTCTTGTGTTCATGGCAGTGAGAACGTCACTAAACTTCACTGTCATAAGTTCTTGTGTTCATGGCAGTGAGAACGTCACTAAACTTCACTGTC